GAAAGCAAAGCAAAAGAAGAAAAGCTTATTAAAGTACACAAGATCAACTTAATATGACAATGGATGATCAAGTACATTCCATGAAGATAATGTTTGAGTTTGCCGAGGCAAAGGAGTTGGAGGATCAATTATGTCTTGGTGATTATGTAAACCAAACAATTGAAATTGTTGATGAATGAATATTTATAAGATTGTAACTACAAACCACTTGTATATACTTCCTAGCTACACTGTCGCTCACTCTAGTAAATATTTGACTTTGTTGCTACATTTAAACGAGCACATAGTTTTAGATGAATTATTTGACTTTGGTATAATAACATGTAAGTCGAAAGTGAGAAATAGCTCAAGTGGTTAGAGCTCCCCTCCCGGTTCCAGGTGATCCTGTGATCGATTTTCACCATGCCCTTGTGACTTTCTAAACACAAAAAAAAAAAAACAAAAAAAACAAAAAAAAAAAATAATAATAGTAACATTTAAGTCGGATATGAGGTACATAAGAAATAGTTGGGTGTAATGCAAATCGAACCAAAAGCTAGACGGGCTGCGCCCACAGGCCACTGCCATCCGTGGCACTCAGTTATGTGATAAAACTGCATTGCAACCAAAAGCTATAATTCTTTATTGTTTTATAGGAATCACCAGGTTTTTTTTTTAACAATGCTAAGAATTACTTTTGATAGTTGTAATGTGAAATTTTTATTGCAAGCTTATACAATTGTAGCATAACACCACAGATTAATTTTTCCGTCCCTTTCTTTAAATTAGGATTCAATTATCTTAATCGACAGGAAGAAGGTTGTGGCTTTTACGTACCATTTATTTTAATCTTGAGAAGGGTTTTAGCTTCGCATTTGCCAACCTATTTTGGTTGCATTACAAGACAAGCAAGGAATGGAATAATAGTTTCATCAGTTTCCCAAAAATAAAAGATCTTGTAAACTTATTAGGAGCATATATGTAGATGTTTATTTGCAAAGCTCATTTCCTAGCATTGATCTAAACTAAATTAAAACCAAATTACTTCATCTTTTGAATCCTTTCTTATTATATTTTTCTTATAACATATTGTTCATCTCTCATTGATACTGCCATCTATTTCAAAATGACCACATATAAACTAGAAGAAACCCCTGATGTTTTTGTTTCTCCTTATAACAATGATACGTTCCGTTACCAAATGATTAGCTTCAACGAGTGGCCAAAGTACAAACCAATCCGCGATATAAACTTGAACTTCGACCAATTGATTATATATGGTATTGAGATTAAGGAACCTATGTTGCAAAAGTTGTATAATTCTCTACGTTTAAGGATTGATGGAACAATTTTTGTTAATTGTAACGGAGAATGTTATTTTTGGTTATTAGGTTTGGCCTTTTTTCGGCCACTTAATAATGTAATATTTGATTGGTCTCCTTTTGGAGTGATAGTACCAAACTCCCTCAATGATATCTTAAGAAAAGAGGTACAACAGAAGGACCAAGAACTAATGGTGATGTCGACGAACAAGGATAGCTTATTGGAAGCCTCAAAGAAAGAGATCGAGGAGCTTTCGACTTGTTTAAAGGACCGTGAAGTAGAATTACAAAAGGCAAGTAATGAACTTTCTTCAAAGAAATCCGAGTTAGAATCTTTAAATTCTATGTTACAATCTACCAAGATTGAGCTAGAATCTTCGAACAAAAGCATAAAAGAGGTTGAGTGTCAATTGGAGTCTTCCCTCAAAAAGACCATAGAGCTTGGAGAACAGCTTTCAAGATGTGTCAAGGAAAGTGAAGAAAAAGAAGCAAAGCTTATTGAAGTTCAAGATCAACTTTCTATGACAAAGAAAGATCAATTGCAGTCCATGAAGATATTGTTCGAGTTCACTGAGGCGGCGAAGGAGGTGGGAGATCAATGCTCAGATGAAAGCTATGTAAATAAAGCAGTTGAAATTGTTGATGAATGATATTGTACACTATACAATAAGGTTGTTAAGATTGTACATTATAACATGGTTAATACGGTTAATCCTTGGTTTAAGTAATGCTCATAGTCTCTTAATTTTTTTTTTTTTATTATTTTTTTTTAATAGAACATGTTCTCTTAATTGATTGATCTCCTATAAAGCAAATATCCTCTTTAACGAATTCTATCGTTCGGTAGAGATAATGGAGAAATTATTGGGGACTAATGACTATATGTTTGAGAGTTGCACAACAATTTTCTTAGAAAGCAATATACTTTCATACGTGGCCAGCCACAATTTTTTTTATTTTTTTATTTATTTTTTATATATATATTTTTTTTTTGAAAGAATAAATGGGATTACTAAGTCATGGGTTACTCACTCGGTCAGGGATCCTAACTCGGTCAAGGGTTACTCGGTCAGTCAGGGGTTACTACTCGATCAAGGGTTACTTTGTTGGTTAGAGGTTATTCGGTAGGTCAGGGGTTATTTAGTCAAGGGTTACTCGGTCAGTTATTGGTTACTCGGTCAATCAGAGGTTACCTGGTCAAGGGTTACTCGTGTATTAGCTGGCCACACACAAAAGTTGATGGGCTTGCGGTGGAGGAAGGGGAAGGGGTTGATTCAGGGAGGGTGAAGGGGTGGTGTATGGGTGTCGGGAAGGGAAGGGGTGGGGTTGGTCGGCCGTCCGGCGCGAGGGCGGCTGCCGAGGGTGGGGAGGGGCCAGTGGCTGGGCTTGGCTGTACTGGGAGAGGGGTGGTATTGGGGGGTTCAATTTTTTAAAAAATGTTAATAATATTATTTTAAATCATTTGAAATTTAAAAACTTTAAATAATTTAAAGAGTAATAAAATAATTATCAAACCAATCAAATAATGACACGTGTCCCATATAACCTGTTAACCAGGTTATCAACCGGTAGTAACTTGTTTAAAGTAGATAACTCCCAAAGGTTGTATTATCTAAAAATAGGCTAAGGGCGGACCACTGAAAGCAAGGTTGCATTGTCTTATTTTTTGTCAATTTTTCCTACATTTTATGCAAGATGAGTATGATGTAAATCTGATACACCCCTCCAACAAGTTGTTATGGTATTAAGACTTGAATGAATTGCTACTCACTTTGGAACAACTTACACCGGTGAAAATTAACCAAAACTCAAGAACACACTCAAAGTTCTGGGTTCTTAGGCTAGAGACAAGACACACTCAATCTCTCCCTAATCGTGTCACTCAAGAACTAACTCAAAGCAACAAGGAACAACACTCAAACTTTGGACAAACACAAAGAAGAATGCTAAGCAACCTGGCGGTTTTTATGTATAACTCAAAACTGCTTTTACTTCTGGTTTGCTCTCCTTATTATAGAGGAAAGGAGCAGCAAAAAAAGCAAACCAAAAGGCAAGGAAAACCGTCCAAAAGATGGAGAGCCAAAAGCCATGGTTTTCCTTTAATACAAGCTAGCTTAAATGCACTAATTAAGCCTAAAGATGAAGAGTTAAACTCTTCCTATTACAACCAGCCAAAGAGCAACTCTTGGTATTTTTTTTTTTAGAAAAAAAACATACTTAAGCTAAATAATACTAAGTAAATAAACCAAGCAACACACGCCCAAAAATAGTAGTGAAATGGGCCAAAGTGTGATGTATGCCCAATTGCTTCCAATCTTCAATCTACCCATGAAATGCAACATAGAATTTCGGCTCTCTTTGAAAATGGATAAAATCCAAGTGTTTCCAAGATAAGAGCAATTGGTTCTTGATCTACGGAGATTCTAAGTGGGCTTCTTGATCTTGGATCATTCCCCCCTTCTTGAAAAAAGTTTGACCCCAAACTCGCATTTACTAAATAAGGAGATAAATCTCGTATGTTGAAAGTAGCACTTCTTAAATCAATTTTATGATTCACTTGCACACACCCCTTTTTAGAATTTTTTTTCAATCGCTCATACAATCCTTGCTTGGTTTTGGATGTCGTTTTCCACTTATTCCCCCCTTTAAGTTTCATTTGGCGGCAGATAGCATTGTGAGGCAAATTAAAGGGACTCTTGGAATGGCATGGTCAATACACCTATTTGAAGGTAGTCTGTTGGACAAGTCATCGGGAAAAACATATTTGTATTCTCCTAACAACTCATCGGGAAAAACAAATCTCATCTTTGGCCTTCCCAACCAAAGCATACCCTTCCCCAATTTCTTCCACTATTTTTTCAAGTTCAATACTAATTACAAGATAGTTGCTTTTCCCTTTTTCTTTTTTAGCAACTTTGGGAGGTAAAGGAAACAATCTAACTTTTCTACCATCTTTGGTAGTTACAATAAACACATTAGCACTACCACAAATCCCGTCCATTCTAGACGCTTTATGCTCGACACTAGGTAACAAGCGTTAGCCAAAAAAATTAATTTCCGTGTTTTTTCGACGCTTTTAAGCGCCACAATTAGATCTCGACAAATAAAAGCGTCGAAATACACAAACCTTAATGCACGTGACTACAGCCCATCCTGGGAGTTTAAAATTTTAGAAAAAAAAAGCGGGCTAGCTAAATCAAAAAATTAAAAAATTAAAAAAAATAACCGCCCATATACAGACATACAGTATACCAAAATAAAAGTTAGATTGAAGAAATAAAAAAAAAAAAAAAAAAACCCTTTAGTTTGCCATTTTCGAAACCCTAGCTAACTTTCCTTTGCTTCGATCGATCTCATCTGATCTCCTAAATCACTTGAAATTGTTGAATTTTGCGTTCCTTTCTTCAGTATTATCTTCAATTTTCGGTAATCTCCTCGCTCTTGTCATCAATTTTCCGTAATCTCGCATCAATTTCGTAAGTTTTGGTTGATATATCATTCACTCAAATTAGGTTGCTTTTGCTGAATCTTTGTTTATTCATTGCATGTTATGGAAATTCTTTTTGCTAATGGGATTTCGAAACGATCGACGCAAAGAATTCAAGAATATATATCACGCAGGTCATGGTCTAATTAATTAGATACTTTTTTATATAATACTTTTTATTATTTATTGGTATTTGTTTTGCTTGATTATGTTTATTGAATTGTTGATTTATTGTATTAATTTTGTGAAATTTTATTTGGGGTTTCTTGGTTGAAATTTTTTTTATAATTCCTGATTCTTGAAAGGAGATTTGTGTTGAGAATGAATACTGCTAATATCAGACAATGTTTTCCTCATTTTATTAATTTTAGAACTCTTAATTGATTTATCACCCTTCATCGATAACAACTTCCGCAAATTAGATTAAAGATACTTGAAATTATAGTTTAGAAAAATGAAAATAAAGGGGTTTGTGCTGCCTATTGCTTGTTGTTTGTGCTGCTGCTTGTTGTTCTGCCTGCTGCTTTTTCTCTTTGATGCTTGCTGCTATCCTCTGCTTGTTTGTGCTGCTGCTTGTTGTATGTTGTTGGTGTTCTGCCTGCTGTTTGCTGCCTTCAGCTTGTGATTTGTGTTGCTGCTTGTTGTTCTTGGTGTTCTGCGTGTTGCCTTTTCTCTTTGATGCTTGCTGCTATCCTCTGCTTGCCTTTTGTGGGTTCTGCTCCATGCTGCTGGTTGTGCTTTCTGCCTGCTGCTTTTCTTGCTGTGCTGCTTTATATAGTTTGTGTGCTTGTTGTTGGTTCTCAAGGGCTGTTGTTGTTGCTGTTTTCTTTGCTTCCTGTGGTGTATAGATTGCTTGCTACCTTTACTAGCTAGCTGCTGTTTCTTTCTTTGTTTTTTTGGTGTTGTTTCTTTGTTGGTTGTTTACACTACTACAAAATGCTAGTATTCTCGACGTTGTATCTTCGACGCTAGGGAAGACCGTCACAGGTAAATTAAGAGTTCTGTGTTTTATCGACGCTTTTAAGCGTCCTTTGACTTTCTCGTCCACATTCCACGTCGAGAAACAGAAAAATAAGCACTTGCCCTGCACGTGATAATTCCACGTGTTAGGGTTATTGATTTTCAATCTTATTTTCAGCCGCCACCACTAAACTCTCATCTTCTTTCCCCACTACTCTCTCTCACTAGTCACTATTCAACTTCCCATTCTTTGCTTCCAAATTCAAGATATACTTACAAAAATCAATGAATTTTTCTTTCCTCACAAGATCTGTAATTTTCAAGGTATTTATAGTAGGTGCAATTTGTTTTTCACATCTTGTATTCAATTCTAATAATTGAAGTCGATCGAAAATTCATTTTTGTTTGTCTTCAATTTTCTGTAGTTTACTCTTAACTTCACTTTTTTTTTTATTTGTTTTCTAGTATGATTATTTAATTTTTTTTGTTTTAATTTTGCTATTTTTGAGGTTTTCTCTAATCTGTGTTTAACAAGGTTTCACCGATTCGATTCAGTTTACAATGTCCAGAAATAAATACACGTTTATTGTTCGAATTGAACATTTATGTCAATGGTTTGGATAACTAATTTCTTTGTTACAAATATTGTTGTGGCCTTAGACAGCTTGTAGCCTCCACAACAGTTTTAGATTTTGGGCAATTGAGATGGGTAATTGATTTTTTGTTTCTTTTTTTGATTTATTGTATTTAATTAAGCTGATACTGATGATGTGCATTATAGTTTGCCAAATTTCCTACTTTGTAGTTTCAGGAATCAATTTAACTATTTGCAAATTATTGTAAATCTTGTATATTATTGTTTTATTTAGTTTATCTTGTGCAAAATCTGCTATGTCACTTTCATATAGAGCAATACTTATGTAGAAGAAATGCTCTGAGATTGTATATTTTTGCTCATGCAATGATCTGTTTGAATCACCTATGATTTTTAGGATCAAGTGTATCCATTGCTCGGATTTGGTGTACAGGTTGAGCAAGTATTGTTAGTGTAGTATCTGATATATGCTCATTATTTGACAAGTACTTGTATTTTATTGATGTTGTTGTTTAATATGTGTGGTTATGGTAGATGGGAAAAGGAGTAGGTGACTAGGTGGGGTGTGAGATATGATTAAATTTCCCAAGCTAGAGAGCTTGCCTTTTTGTGAGGGGTGGTGTACTGGTGTGGTACTCCATGTGAGAGGTTACTTATTCTTGCTTGTTAATGAATTGTCTTTAATCTCTTTACACTTTAGGTGATTTATTCATGTAATTTCTAAAAAAGAAGAGTACTTACTATGTGTATAAATTTTGTCTTAGATGACATTGAGCTTTAATATCTTGGTGCTTATATTATGAAATATTCATTCTTAGCTTTTATACACCAATATTTATGATTGAGTTTCTTTCTTTCTTTCATATTTTTTATTTTTTTATTTTTATGTATGATTGTGATTTAAAATTCCACTCTGTTGACTCAGATTTGAGGCTAGAACACTAGCTATTGGTGAAGCCATTAAATTAGGAGCAGCTATAGACTATCTATCTAGAATCGGCATGCAAATGATTCACGATTATGAGGTAGATTATTGTCTTACAATCAATATCTTCCTGTCCAGTCGCTCGTTGATTTCTTATATTCAGCAGCTATATGATTTTTGGAACTTTAATCTCCAATATCGGTTATTATAATCCAAGTAGTAGTACTAATAGAATTATTACTTAGTTGTAATTGTGTGTATGTTGATTAGATGGGCATGATTTAATGTATATTAGATATTAGATTAAGATAAAGTAAGATTTGTCTTTTATCTACTTTCATTATTTGAATTAACTTTTAATGCTCTTTTTTTTTAATGATCAGTAGCTTTTACTCATATTAGTGGTCTTGTAGAGATGATAAACTTAATGTTAGTGTTAATTCTTTTAGTTATAAGCTAGATTAAACTTTTTTAAAGTTTGAATCGGATTTGATTTTCTGAGATTGAATATCTACACCTAATTACTAACTAGCTAATTGAGATTTGTTTATGTTTTTTGGTTTGTTCTGGTTAGAATTTATATACAACTATACTAAGGATTGTTTTGGGCAGTTAATATTGATGTTGTAATTATTATCAAGCAATCTAATGAAATGAATATTGTATGTACTTCAATTTTTTTTCTCATATATTGGCCGTAAATCTACATCTTAGTTTATGTGCTTTGGCTGCAAAATTTTATTCTAGTAAATTTATAGTTTTTATATCCTAGTTAGTTCTTGAGACGCTCCTTAAGCATTTTATAATTTTAAATTTACTAAATCAAGTTTTTAATTGACTTAAAGTCTTACTAAATCAAGTTGTGACTAATCTTAGATCTGGTAATGAAGTTGGGGTATTGATCAGATTGTTAAATCAGTTTTTACTGTTTTTAACTACTCTTATAGATTATGCTGTATATCTTCTTTAAGTCTTTTTTCATTTGGGTCTTACACAAAAACATACCCTATAAAGGACTAAAGCCTGAAGGTACATCTAAAGGTGTTGTGTTCGGAGTCACAGCAGCATGGATAGCGCACACTAACCTGTTGATTTGGGCGAGTTTTCCTTTTTGTTCAGATTTCTATCAGTATTGATTTGGTGTGTCCAATTGTTGGATTGATAATGATAACTATATATGTTTTATTTTTTATGTTCTTTTTTTTATCAATAACATATGATATGCTACAAACTTACTTGGCCAAAAGAATATTATTGAACCAGCTTTTATAGCTTGCTTTAACTTTGAAATATCATGAATGTCATTCTATGTTAGGCAAGCATACACCAATAAGGTAGGTATTTATCTTAGATTGAAATTTTTCTAGATCTCATTGTTACTTTGTTAGCAGGGCTGCCATTTTAAGCTTTAGTATAGTTGGAGAACCACTGATAAAGTTCTGTTTTCTTATTTATATACCAGGCATTGATGCATCTGTTCCTCTACCTTGTTTTGGTGCAGGATTCTGAATTGTTTTATGAGTGCGTGAGAGCTTTGAAAGCCTTTGCTTCATTTCATTATAAAGAAACTATTGCTAGAAAGGTGGGTCTAGGCTCACATGCTCCTAGTGGTGTCAAGGTATACGGGGGAGAATGTTCAGGAAGGAATTTTGAGTCGCTTCCTTCCTTCCCTGCTGCAGCTACTTCCATTTGAGGATTACAGGTATAAGGTTGTTGATAATTTTAACCTTTTTTTTTTATTTTTTGCATCAGGCATATCCTTCAAGGGCAGTTGCTTCCACTCTTCCTTTCTTCCGCCATTCATCATGAACTTTGCTTTACGCCCTCTTGCAAGTATATTAAGGAGCAGCTTAAATTAAAGATTGATTGAAGATTTTTTTGAGAAGAAATGAGCAGATCTGTTCCACTACAACTAGTCACGAATGAAGTATAAGTTGGAATTATACCTGTTGTAGAGATATTGTACATATACTATAATATACCTATATGAAATAAAAAAAAGTTTGGCCCAATTATTTGGTAATTTTTTTTTTCATTGAGACGCACGTTTTTTTGTTTAATATATTTTAGATATTTTTTTTAAATAATATGGATAAGAAAAAATGTCCCTAACGTAGAAAATATAGACGAAAAAACAGTCCCAAAAATATTGAATATCAAATGTTTGAAACTCTAAACACAAAAAAGCGTCACCAATTTAATGCTTTTAGACAACAAAACGCGTCGAAAAAGTCGAGAAAGTGCGCCAATTCCTGCAAATGTCGACGCTTCGTATATGATTTTGGACATAGATAGGCGTCGAGATTCTCGACGATTTAAAGCGTTACAAAATATTGGGATATAAAAAGGTGTCGAGATTTGTGACACGAAAAAGCGTCGCAAATTTCTCGACTCACTTTTTCTCGACGCTTTATAAAAAAATGGCGACGCTTTTCAATGCCGTAAATAATGAAAAAAAGCGTCTCAAAAGAACGAGATTTGTAGTAGATTTACATTATGGATAAAGAAGAAAAAATGGCATCCATAGGAAGAATATCACACCAACGTTCATCTTTGAACCCTCCAATGGAATAAGTCACCAAGGCTTGCTTCTTCACCCTCATGTTGGCACCATCATTCAACCAATTGAGCTTATAAGGCTCATCATGAACCCTAGTAGGTAGCTTTAACTTACTCACAGCCTCAGACAAAATCACATCAATTTGAGCGCCACTATCCACAATCACATTACAAGTCTTTTCACCTATCTTGCATCTAGGTGGAACAAGTTGTTTCGTTGCCTCTCATCAACTTGGGGATCACCAAGTAAGATTTTGCGAACCACCAACAAGTTATGGTCATTTTCTGGAGAAATCTCTTCTTTAAAGTCGTCCTCCCCATTACTCTTTTCTTCTTGAGTTACAAAGTTATACATTTGTTCTTCTTTATCCATAATTGCGCATTGTGTGGCGGTCAAAATAGTTTTACTAGGACACTTGATTAGGGGATTTTTCCCCACCAATCACCATCTGACAAGTGGACCAATTAGGTTCCGCCATGTGTCCGTCACATGGGCCAATAGGAGCCTGCCACGTGTCAAGCAATGATCCGTCCACCATGGACCAATTACGACACGACACGTGTCCTTCCCATGACACCTGGGATAACCGGTCACCTAGGCCCAACTTCCGTGGGAAGCCCAATCAGCCCAAGGTTAACCTAAACCTAGATTGACACGTTTCCCGAGGTTATAAATACCTCCCTTAATCCTCATTAAGGGAGATTACACAGATTACACACATTAAACTCTCTCACCTAGAGAGACCCAATCACTTTAATTTCCGCATTAATTACTCCTTAATCAAGTACTAACTTGACTGTCGGAGGCGGATCTCCAATCATCCGGAGCATCCGTTTGTTTTGCAGGTACAGGCGTCCGGTTCCAGTCTCGGAATTGTAACTCTCCCGCAGGACATCAGAAAACCCCGAAACATCTTGGCGCCGTCTGTGGGGAGAGTACTTCTGAGATGGCATCCACGTTTGTACCGGCTCCTAAAGAGAGACGTCCCCTAGACGACCCTCTAGTTCAGTCGGACCACGATACTGAGAATGAATTTGAAGTTGAAGCTCACACAGCTTCAGACGGGACCCTAAGGGCCCGACGTACCCGTCATACCGAAAGGAGGGAACGGGAAAATCTTTAAACTGGAAGCGAGCCAGCAGGCGCACCGCCTGTTCGGCAGCAGCCGACTGATGGGTCTGCTCCCATCACAAGGAACGAACTCATGACCTTCATGAGGGACTTCAAGGGAGAAATTCAAGAGTTGATCAACAAGAAGCCGCCTGCTCTGGACAAGGAGCAGTCGGCTCAGAAACCCTCCACTTCACGGAAGAGGAAGCCAGTTCAAGGGCGAGAGGCGACCCCTCATCCTAAATCTAGGAAGTGGGAGCCACCTTCCCTTGATTTCACAAAATACCGTTTTCCTACTCCAGGAAATAGGAAACCTGTTCGTCATATTCAGGCGGACGGGTCGAGGAAAACATACACAGACGCTCGGCTACTGCTAGAGCAGAAGAAGAGTGACCGATTGTCAGAGTCGGCCTCTACTTCAAACTTCCAAGACAGTCTGCGAAATACCTCGATGAGGCATACTCAGTCGTATCATGAGAGTCAGTCAGGCGGCACCTCCCGTCAGTCCGGCTTTCATAGCGACCAGGCGGTACCAAACTTACCGTTTGTACCGCAACAACAATATTTTTTACAGCCACCTCCGTTTGGTGGACATGCAGCAAAAAATGTCCAACCTATGGACTGGCAGCTACGGTTGCTTAGACTTGGTGAACAGCCATCGGCCTTCTCCAAGGAAATTACTGAAGCCGCTCAGCCGGCCAAAGTGAAAAATGTATTAGTAGGCGCCTATGACGGCACTACTAACCCAGAAGACCATCTGATGGCATTCACCAACCTGATGTACCTTCAAGGGTTGGATGATCCCACTTGGTGCAAGTGTTTCCCAGCGACTCTCAAAGGAATCACACAACAATGGTTCGGCAACCTGCCGACTGGTTGTGTAAATAACTTCAAGACGCTTGCTTACTTATTCACCTCCAACTTCGCCATGAACATCCCTGCGAAGAAGACGACCCTTGATTTAGGAACAATTCAGCAGGGCGAGAGGGAGGGGCTTCGTTCTTACATCAGGCGGTTTAACCTGATGAGAATACAGATTCAAGGGTTACCGGATGAAGTAGCCTATACTGACTTTTTCAGAGGTCTCAAAGACGGGTCGACCTTTAAATTTGACTTGGTCCGAAAGAGGGTGGCGACTCTTCAAGAGGCCTTGATTGAAGCGGAAGCTTATATACAGGCGACTGATCTTTGTAGTACGGTAAAACAGTCAGACGGGAGAAGGCCCGACAAAAGAGAAGGACGACAGAAACAGTCGTCAAACAAAGACGAGAAGAGAAAAGAGGTCTGGGCGGCTGATTCCTCTAAACAGCCGGCCCAGAAAAAGAAAAAAGAATTCAAACCATACTCCCCAAAGTATGCGTTTAAAAAGGATAGCCAATTTATCCTAAAGGAAATCAAGGGACGGATCTCAATTGAGAAGTCGGTCCCCAGGAAGGGTTCTGCAAACAACCGGAACCAAGAAAAATTCTGTGATTATCATGAAGATGTTGGTCATCACACCAATGAATGCATCAGTCTCATGCGGTATCTGGACCGCCTGGCTGAACAAGGTGATCTTGACACTTATGTCAAGAAATCTACGGGGAACACTTCCTCGAAAAAGCAGTCGGCCAAAAAGAATCAACAGGCCGACAGTTCCGATACAGATGATGCAGTCGTCTACACCATTGCAGGCGGCTTCTCAGGAGGCGGCCCCACTATTAGGGGCAACAAAGACAATATCAGACGGTTAGATGTAAATTCCGTTCACCAAGAACGGCCCTCCAAATATTCATTTCCTGAGATTGTCATCACTGAAGAAGATCTAGGAGGGGTAAGAGGGCCGCATGACGACCCTATCGTTATTGAATGTAAAGTGGACAACCAGAGAGTTGGCCGAATCCTCATAGATACCGGAAGCTCCTCAGATCTCATCAGTAGCAAATGTCTGTCGAAACTAAAATATCAGACTGATTGCATACATCCGGCATCCCACCCTTTAGTAGGGTTTGGAGGAGGAGTCGTCCACCCAGTGGGACGAGTGGATTTACCCATCCGCCTGGGCGAAAAAGGGGAAGGACGACACATGGTAGTCCGGTTCTTGGTAGTAGAAGAACTCTCGGCCTACAACATGATTCTGGGACGACCAACCCTGAATAATTCCAAGGCTGTTATAATCCCATCTCTTATGTTGCTCAAGTTTGAGAGGGATAATGGAACAGTCGGGTCCCTAAGGGGAGATCAGAGGATGGTCCGTGAGTGCTATCTCTCGGATGTCAAGCCCACTGTTATGGCCACTAGGTCGAGCGGTGGAAAAATAGACCTTGACAATGTCAAGGAGAGTGCGCCTGTTCAAGAAGCAGGCGGCAAGAAGAGAAAGGCATCCCAGACAGAGGCCGCAAGAAAAGACAGAAAATAGCAATCATTGGCAGAGGAGTGGTCGGATGAATTCCGCCCTCAGCTAGTTGGTGAGCATACAGACCTGATCTTAGATGACTCGCGTCCTGACAGAACAATCAAGGTTGGGACGACTGCTCTAAGGGACCTGGGTGACGACTTTCACAAACTATTGAAAGAATACAAGGACATCTTTGCATTCGAAGTCCATGAAATGCCAGGCATTAGTCCTGATCTGGCGGTACATAAACTGGCCGTGGATCCGAAAAAGAAGCTGGTACGGCAAAAGAAGCGGAACCATGGCGAAGAAAGAAGTCAGGCGGCAGCCGCCGAAGTTAAAAATTTACTTGATGCTGGGTTCATTCGGCAATGTTACTTCCCAGACTGGGTTGTAAATGTGGTGCTTGTTAAAAAGCCGAATGGCACCTGGCGAATGTGTGTAGACTACACAGACTTAAACAAGGCATGCCCCAAAGACAGTACCCTCTGCCTAAAATTGATAACCTGGTCGACTCAACAGCCGGCCATGCTTTGATGAGCTTTATGGACGCCTACTCTGGTTTCCATCAAATTCCTTTATGGGAGAAAGATCAGGAGAAGACGGCCTTCGTCACTGATCAGGGGTTATACTGTTACACGGTCATGCCGTTTGGTCTTAAGAATGCCCCGGCCACTTTCCAGCGAATGAAAAACAATGTGTTCTTTGATCAGATTGGGAGAAATGTCGAGGCATATATTGATGATATGATTGTCAAGTCTAAACTTCAGAAAGATCATATGTCGGACCTCCGAGAAACTTTCGCCACACTTAGGCGGCACCATGTCATGCTCAATCCCAAGAAATGTGTCTTTGGAGTTGAGTCTGGGAAATTTCTCGGATTCCTTATCAATCAGAGAGGAATAGAGGCGAACCCTGAGAAGGTGCAGGCGGTCATCGACATGCAGTCGCCTCGTACCATCCGAGAG